TGGTCCAGTGAAGTAATGGACCTGAGACAGTGAAAATGGCAGGAAACTGGGATTAAGAGAAGGCAATTTTTAACCTGGGAGCCTTGCACAGATTTAGTGCACTAACTTGGTGGCTGTCCAAAAAGTGACCTTTGGGATCATTCTTGGCCACTGTTTGTCAGCTGACCTCCATGAAACTAAGGCTATCTTCTGGAAATGCGACTACCTCAAATATCAGCCACCCTGAATCAAGTATGCTAGTGTCTAATCTTTGCAAATGATGGCCTTCAAAGAATCAGATTTGAGAACTCACTTGATGATATTTTATCCATTAATTTGGTACATTCATGAGAGAAGCCCAGCATAGCATAACTGTTAATTTAAACTCAATTTATTTCATTAATTCTAATATATAATACATTAATTATGAAATCACATACAGGCTGCTATTTGTCTTTTCTCTCTACCACCACTCTTTGATACACAGAATTTTTGGAACCCACTGGAAGAAGTGAGATTCTCCTTACCCTCACAGTTAGAATCACAATTCTTAGTCATTGCACTACAGACTGGCAATAGTCATTGAGTTGCTGTTATACTTTTAAGCAGACACAAATGTGGTACTAACAAATATCAGAGAAATAGAAAATGTATCACCACTCAGATCAGAGTTAAAACCTCCCTGCAGGTTGCTCATGAACCCATGCTAGCCAGAATTAAATATACGTCATCGATATACATCTAGTAAGCCGCTACAATGTTAATACCATTTACACATTCTGCAGGAAAGGGGTACTAGTTCTGATATGCCACTTTAGCTCAGGGAAATCCAGCCATAAAATGTGCATCTACTCACCCAAAGAATTTCTTAAATACTAGCAAGCATACAGGTAGCCCACTTCCTTTGGCTAGGTGAAACACAATCCAGCTGAGATTAATGGCTATTAATCTCAATAAGAACTTTGTTTTTGAATGAAAGAAATAATCTTGCCAGAGAAAAGTATGTTTTTAAAAAGAGTGAGGAGGCGTTGATCTTATTATTCCACTCAGTGTTCTGCTGTGTTCTCATCTTTTTTGTGACTGTGATTTGAAAATTCTATTATATACTTCTGGAATATAGTAAACTATTAACTGAGGGGGTACACTGATTTTCATATATCCCATTCTTAAAAACTGTTATACAAACCATGCTAGAACCCATGTTGAATTTAAAGATTGGCTAAAATACAATGTCTGCTTATAAGGCATCTAGAAACCCTCCATAGACTGCCACACACACACAATTTATGTTAAGGGAAAACATAATGAAATTATGAAGTATCAAAATCATTTTAGCTGAGGGATTTATGGCAGGTTTCATTGATAATTTGGCATTTTTAAAAACAGGACTTGGAAGACAGGTAAGAATTCTGGTAAGTGGAAATGGAAGAAGCCATTCCACACAAAGAGAAGGAAAACAGGCTGCAAATAGAAGAGGAGACGGTGATTTCTTTAAATTATGATACAACTGCTTTAGCTAGAAATGTTTTTTCTCTTCCCTCAAATCATCTCAGAGGTCCCTAGATGTTCCTTAGCTTTTTCAGAGCAGCAATTTTGTTTTTCTTTTACTTACTGTGGCATTCCTTAAGGTTTTCTTTTCTTTTCCTTTTCTCTCCTTTTTTCTTCCTTCCTTCTTTCCTTTCTTCCTTTAGAAGGCATCCATCCTGAAGCATTTTATCATAGTAATAGACAGTGAACTAATACAGGTGTAGGTGCCTAGACTAATTCTGGTCTATTTTGTTCCATCAATTTTTTATTTGGTTTTTTATCAATAACATGCTGCTTAATTCCTATAACTTCTATGTGTGATTAAAGATCTTTATTTAACGTCTCCAGCTTTGTTCTTTTTGTTCAAGACTGCATTGTCTATTTGTGGTCATTGGTGGTTCCATAAAATGTCAGATTATTCTCTATTCCTGTGACTACCTTTTTCCTTTATTGGGAAGTACATTTCATATGTAAATCACATTGTACAGTATGGATAATTTTAACATTATTCTTTCAACCCATGAATATGAAATTGAATTAATTTTTTTGTGCCCTCAAATTCCTTCATCAATTAAAAAAAATGTCATTGTAGAGACCTTTCAGTTTCCTGGTTAAATTTGTTCCTTGATTTTTAGAACTATGATACCTTTTGTGAATGCAGTTGCTTTCCCGATTTCATCCTCGGCCATTTCAGTATTGCTGGATAAATGTGCTACTGTCATATATATGCTGATTTTTTTTTCTCCTGCAACTTTGATGAATTTGTTTATAAGTCCTAATAGCTCTTCTTGAGTGTTTAGATTTTTCTGTATATAAAATCATATCATCTACAACCTTGAATTTTAGTTCTCCCTATCCATTTTTCAATGACTTTTCTTTTTCTTGACTGATTGCTCCACTAAGAGTTCCAGTGTGCTATTATGGTTTGGATATATGTCCTTCAAAAGGTTTGCTATGGCTTGTGTCTAGAGGCCACCTCCAAATCTTCATGTTGTCACAGTGAGGCTGTTCAGAGGTGGTTGGAACCAGGGTGTGTGAGGCAGAAATTAAGGGTATGTGACTATAAAGTTAGTCCATTGGTTGATTTGGCACCTTTGGGTGTCCTATATTTTGCCTCAGCAATGGGAAAAATGACTAAGAGAAGGGTCAGTATGTTCAAGGTTTGGTTGCTAACAGTTTTTGGGAATTGATTCAATCATAAAGGCTCCAGTTTCACTAAAGGATTAACTGACTGATAACAGCATAATTTGATGGCATTAGTGGAAAGTGATGGAAGCAGGAGGTAGGAGTCTGGTTGAAAGGAGAATCCCATGAGGTGTGACTAGGGGACTACACCTACTTCTTAGGCCCTTCCTCTCTAGCTATGTCCTTCTCACTCTGTGACCTCCCTCCCATACTGTGAGCGGCTTTCCTCCACCATGTGCTCTGCCTCACCACAAGACTGAAAGCAGTGGAAATGAACTTGCCCCACATTATGTGTTCTCCTCAGATATTTGGTTACAGTGATGAAAAACTGTCTAACACATACACTGAGTAAGAATGGAGATAGTAGACACTATCACTGTATCCTAGTTCTTGGAGGAAACATTTGCAGCTTTCCCCATTCAGTGAGGTATTGGTTGTGGGGTTATTTGTACATAGCTTTTCTTCTATTCAGGCATATTCCTTCTATGCCTAATTTGTTGAGAACTTTCATCATATATATATATATATATATATATATATATATATATTATCCTTAATTCTCTTGATATGATACATCACATTTTGCCCCAGGGTAAATTCCATTTAATCATAGTATATAAGCTTTTATTATGTGCTACCAGATTTGGTTTGCTAGTATTTTGTTGAGAATGTTTGCATGTATGTTCCTTGAGAACATGAGTCAGCAGTTTTTCAGTTGTTTTATCTTTGCTTGATTTTTGTAACAGTGAGTTTGGAAGTTTTTCAATTTTTCAGGAAAGTCTGAAAAGAATTTGAGTTAGTTTCATATAATTAAGCAATAAAATTATACAGTCCTGTTCTAACACCATCTGCTCCTGCTTAAGGTTGACTCACTCTGAGTTGCAGAATCAGAGCAATAATGCAGGGGTTTCTTACAGAAAAATGGGCTACAGTGGTTCTTTAGTATAAACAAAGTTCATTTCTCATCACCAAGCCCACACAAACCTTACCTCAAGCATGCAAGAGAGGCGCACAAACTGTCCTCCAGTGGTAATTCTTGTCTTTCCTTTCCTCTTCCAATGTGGCTGCCTGACAGGTTACACTAGGCCCACGAGCTAATGACCTATAAATGTATTTGTGTCTTAGTCCAGCCTTTACTTTCCATTAACTCTTGGTAGCTAAGTGGGCACAGGAATCAGTGTGAGAGTTATCAGATGTAATTGTGGGTGGATAGATACACTACTAGGAACAATAAGGCTGATGCACAGGCTTTTGCATGTCCCTCAATGTATCCAGACACTAGAAAAATCTTGGGGGAGCAATGATGAGTTTCTTAAGCTACTGTGTGGTACTGGAAACTAAAATTGTCCTGGATACTTGAGGACCAATTTTTCCCTTTGTGAAAAGCATTAAAAGAATTATTACGTATAGGCACCATGTGGATAGGCCTATAGGCCATGGAGCACATGATACTCTTACAGGAAGCAGACACCTGAATGTCAAGTAGGTTAGCTTCTTACCTCATTTTCTCAGGGCACAGGAGTTGGATCAGAGGGTGGTTGTTTGCTCTCCCAAATGTACAGGCGTTGTATGTATGAAACAGGAGAGAGAGTTGAGTGGCCTACAAGAGTAAGGTAGGTGTCTAAGTTTCCCAGTCACATCTGGCCAGGAGTTTCACATTGCTTAAGTAAAACAGTCACTTTGTATTTACCATTTCAAAAATTAACTATTGGGCAAGGTAAAAGCAAAGCTTGGAAAGATTTTAAGGAGCAAACTGTGACACATTTGTGATCCCAAGAAAATTTTTTTTTCTAGGAGACCTCTACTACGTTTTCCTGACTGCCTTTAGATTTCTTTCTAGGGAAATTTCCCAGGCACTGCTTTCAATTTTCCTAGAAGCTCTAGAAGTTCCAAAAGACTAGGATCCAGGGCCAACAAACACTCATGCATCAGAAGCCAGGATCCACACTTTACGAATTTTCTCACCCCACCCCAGCAATCTTCCACTCTTACATTGGCTTCTTATGATCTTGTAGGATATAGAACCAAAACTCAAATCTTTTTTATTTTTCTCTTAGTTTCCACATTCTTGGACACCCCCCCCCCCCCAAGCCGAGGCACTGTTCCTGTCAACCCAGGAATCCACTCTGCACACACTTTCTGTGCAGAGTGGATTCTTCTGTACACTGTTGACCTTTGTAGTGACAATCCTAGTAACACTACAGTTCCCAGTACTCTGTCCCTGCCCATCAAAAGCCATGGCTCTAGCTTAGAACAGGTTTCCTCTTCTCTGGAACTTTAGCGGGCATCAGGGCTCTACTCCCCTCGGGCCGCGATAGTGCTCACGGCGAGCGCACGCAGCATGGCCTTGCACCTGGGCGGGCTGAGCGCAGGCCTCTGGGGCCGCGCGGCGCGGGCTGGCTGCGGAGAGCTGCGCGCCTGGTCCGGGCGCTGCGCAGCTGCACGCCGCTGCCGGGCGCCTGGCACGGCCCGCCCCGAGCACAGCCGCGGGCTGGGGCACGGAGCCGCGGCTCGAGGCGGCCCCCGGCTGGGCAGCGGGCTGGCCGCGGCGCTGGCGGGCTTGGCGGGGCTGGCAGCCGCCGCCTTGGGGCACGTGCGGCGGGCAGAGATGGTGCCCAAGAGCTCGGCGCGGAGTCCCCCAGCGGCCCGGGAGGAGGAGGAGGAGGACGAGCTGAGCCGCCGCTGCAGCTGCTTCATGACCCCGCCGGTGACGGACCTGCGCGAGCTGCGGCGGAGGCCGGGCGACATCAAGACCAGGATGGAGCTGCTGATCCTGGAGACCCAGGCCCAGGTGTGCCAGGCGCTGTCCCAGGTGGACGGGGACGCGCGCTTCTCTGTGGACCGCTGGGAGAGGAAGGAAGGTGAGGAGGCAGAGGGAGGCCCGGCAAGGTGGCGACTGGGTTTGAGGGTGGGGAGGTGTGGCTCTAGGCTTCATGCAGCAAATGGCTCAGAATTGGGGGTGGGGGATTAGAAGGAACACAGTTAAGAAGACTGGCAGTGGGAAGGGCCCCCAGCCGTCGGCTTGCCGGTGAACCCCAGATCTACTGTCAGGCTGGTGTCGGGCATTTCAAGATATGTGTGATTCATAACCACATTTCACCTAGAACTATAAAGGAATATTTGCAGCCAACAAACTTTCCTGCATAGAGTTTGTTAGTTGCCCACATTTCAGTGCCTTCTTTAGGTCCATTTGTGTTTTTGTTCTCCTTGAGAAATGGAAGAACTAACTCAGTTCTGTGTGCCAAGCATCGGCCATACTCCTTCATCTGCGAGTTCACTGTGGCATCAATCTCGCCACTCCCTTTTCCCATTATGCAATAAATATTTGATTGGCTTTTCAATTGCACCCCAAGCATAACCATCAAATGTCCTGCTAAGGAAATATTTTATTTTAATGCCCTAGTTGTCATTGAGATATATATATATATATATATATATATATATATATATTTGTCTTATAAAGCCTATCAGTAAGGGCCATTGAGCCAGGTCCAACCTCAAGTGTGGGCCTGGTAGTGTGAGCGCAAGCAGTTTCTTCTTATGTGCCTTTTTTTGGTGTGTGTCCAGTTCAGCCCATCCTGGGAGCGGGGGCGGGGCTAGTGTAGCATGTGGTACTGAGTAAGCAGGCACTTTAGACCACTGAGCTATATGGCCAGCCCTAAAATGAGTATGTCTAAAGCCCTTATAGTACTGTCACAAATCTAGACAGCAATTGCACAAATTGTTTTTGTCTTTAGTGACTCTGTGATCTTATAATATATTTTATTTCTTTAAACTACAGTGTTTTCATGTGGCATGCACAGGGATTGTGTTGATCATCATATGTCTCAGCTGTCCCTTAAAGTGCTTAGAAAAAACTGCAAAAAATAAGACTTGAAAATCAATAGCCTATGATTCGAAGCTTCTTAAAAAATAGTAGAAAGGCTTACATACCTAAATATTATTTCTCATGTATTGCAAGGTTCTGAATTTCTTGAAGTTTAATTTCTACTGTTTTTTTACTTGTATGTTAACAAAATTAAAAGGCAAATAGTGAACAAAAAAATTTTTTTCAAGTAATATGAATCTCTTAAATTGTGTAGCAAGGAAATGTCATTCAAGCATATCCATTCCTAATTTTAGCTTTATTTTTTATTCATTTTATTTATTTGGTACATGTTCTCGATATGTAGCTCAGACTCATGGTGATCCCCCTGTCTTAGCCTCCCCAGCACTAGGATTACAGGTTTGACCTGCTTTCAGGGCTGGCACAGTGCACCTGGGGTTCTGGGGCCATGCAGGTGCTTAGACCACTGAGCTATCTCCCCAGCCCCTTAACTTTAACTTTAGGTTTCTCTTATCTATCAAAAGTGATGAGCTCCACTGTGAATAGTAGAGTTTGAAGAGCAGATATTTAAATGATTTATTTTAGGTGATGGCATAAGAATGTAGGAGTACCTAGTTTACCTCATGAGAAGATTCAGTATTTTCACAGTGTCTGTAGCTTATACCATAAACGTAAGCTAGTTGTCTAACTTCTATTGTACATAAGAATTGTAAATATTCTATAGAATATTTAAGGAATAGAGGTAGAAAATAACTCCTATTTCCACCATCTTAACACATGTATGATGTTTCTTCCTTATTGTTAACTTGGTTGGATGAAAAAATGCCTAGCAGATTGGAAAGTGCACTTCTAGGTCCCAGCTGGGTGACCTTGGGGTCTGCTTCTGGTTTCTACCTTTCCCTCTTTGGCTCACTTTCTAACCTGCTCTCCTTCCTGGCCAACATAAAGTGTCTTTCTGCTTTGTGTGATTCCTGCAATGATGTTTCTGCCTCAAAGCCTGCCAGCCACGAACTGGCCCTTCAGAACCATAAGCCACCATGAGCCTGTTCTTTACATTGTGCTAAGTATTTTGTACCAGCATAGATCAGGGTCATTTTTAGTTTTACAGACTGTCATATTCTCTTTCCATTTCCCATTTCTGTGAACAGGAGATGGTACACTACCTGTGTACTCAAGATGAACTGGTTTCTTACTTTCTCACTAGAAGGTAACTAAGTAAACCTTTACTTAGACATATTTGGGTGTCTGTAATATATAGTATGTGGTGGCATCTTTTATGCATCAATTGTTATTCTCAAAATAGTCCCTTTCACCATGCTTTCCTTCTGATGTACATACTATCGATCATCAAATTTTACTTCTAAGAGATAGTTTGCAGTTATTTATTGTATCTTCCTTTGGCAAGTAAAGACGTGACTCAAGAGAGCTATAATTTTCACCCCAGTGGATATCATTCCTTGAAGATTCTAATCTTCTACCCCTTGTAAAAGCAGCAGTCTCTGAGGGCAGAAGCACAACTTGATTGAAGAAACATATTAATGTTGAACTCTATTACTTTGTTCACTAAGCTTCTCAGAGTTCCAAATACTTTAGATAGATTTGTATTGCATTCTTGGTTCATTTTCAGATGAGAATGTGGGCATTTTCTGTATTGGTGATGACTATGGAAAGTCTAAACTAATGATTTTATTTTTAAACTAGGGCAGAAAGTATGGACACTATAGTGGCCTTAATCAAGAACAGTGCTTTGAACTGAAAGGCTGCATCAATTTCCATGCCTCCCTCATCTCTGATTTGGCCCCACTTCAATTTGCAGGTATGATTACCTATTTATTTATTTATTGCAGAACTGGGGATTGAACTCAGGCCCTTGTGCTTGCCAGGGAAGCACTTATTCTACTGAGCCATCTCCCTGGCCCCTGATTACCTCTTTATCATGGCTCATTGTGGAGAGTGGAGGGGCATTGGTGGTATCTATTTTGATATGGAGACCTTCACTCTCCATCTCAGAAGGAGGTATTCTGCTTCGTGCAGTGTTGTGCCCAGGCTGTGGTTTCCACAGAAAAGAAAACAAAAAACAGAAAATGACTGTGCAAAGCTGTGGCAGCAGAAGAAGACCGTGGGTGACAGGAGAATAAACTATCTCTTTGTGTAACTAAGAGAAGTAGAACAGCTGCACTAACAATGTATGTTGTACTGAGTTGGGCAGATGTGTTATAGCAAGAAGTTAATGTGTAGTCTAAAATTGTGTCATTACTATGTGGATATTAGAAATTAAATTTAAAACATTACATAAAATACTACTAAAAATAAAAGTAAAGTATCCATAATTCATCTATATTACCAAAATATTGCATTTTTAATTCAGATAAAGTATCTTTAAGTCATTTCAATTACAAAGCCCTAGCATACATGTATTAAGTCCTTGGTGAATTTAACCCAGCTCTTTCTTTCAGTCCTCAGGCAGTGCCAAGATGTGAACATCACTTTTTATATCTGTGTCACTTGGAGGTTCCCAGTATCAAAAACACTATCCAAGTATAAAAACTTATAATCTGCCCACTACTCTGGAAGCTTGCTTGTAACCAGATCTAAACTTTTTCTTTCTTCTCCAGTTTTGCTAATCATGCTGACAATATTAAACTGAGCAATATTGTTTAGAAAAGGAACACAAGAAGAAGAAAGGGGCTATCATTTCAATAGGTCACTCTTTTTAAGAAGAAATGCTATCCACAAACTCAATGTCTGTCGGGCGCCCTCCCGTCCAGCAGGAAAGCACTCAACACGATTTGTGCGGCGGAAAGGCTTTAATCGTTCTCCTGAGTGATGCGCCCCGAGAGAGCACAGTTCCTCTCTCCGTCCCTCTTCCTGTCTCTGACCCTCCGCGTCGTGGAGCGTTTCTTTTATATCCTCACACTGTCCAATCGAGGGTTGATACATGTTACAGCGCCATTGGTTACAATCTCAGGGAAGGTATCTTACATCATTATAGGCGGGTGTATAGCGACTGCAGAAGCAGGAAATGAGCGCCATCTTGGCACACTCGGTGGGAGGGGTAATCTAGCGCAGGCTTCAAGGGCTGCAGCAGGCCTCACCCAATGGTCCCTAGGAGTTTTGGTTCTGAAGCCGCTATTCGCGGCATGGGCTCTCTACAAATGTCTAGAGTTTTGTGTGTGCCACAAAATTTTTCCAGCCTGTTTCTTAAGTTTCTGCCCACATTCTGCCTCTTGAACTGATTTAGAACAAACGTATGAATAATCAAGGAGGGAGAGTATCAAGTCTCACAGGTCACAAAATGGATGTAAAACATGAAATCAATGTGCAAGATGGTGGGTGAAAAAAACTGAGAAGCCAGACCCTAAAGAGAAGAAACATGAAGCCAAGAAGGCTGCTACCAGTGAAACTGGTAAGAAGGGTAAGGTGAAAGTAAAGAGTCCAAGAAGGGGCAGCCCCACTGCAGCTGAAATCCTGTCCTGGTTAGAGGAATTCGTGGATACTCCCAATCTGCTATGTATTCCAGAAAGGCTTTGTACAAGAGAAAGTACACAGCTGCTAAATCAAAAATTGAGAAGAAAAAGGAGAAAAAAAATTAATTTTTTTTAAATGAAAAGAAAAGAAAAAGGAGAAAGTTCTTGCTGTGTTCATAAAACCAGTCAGTGGGGACAAGAATGGAGGTATCCAGGTGTTTAAGCTTCAAAAAATGCCTAGATACTACCGTACTGAAGATGTGCCCCAGAAACTCTTGAGCCACGGCAAGAAACACTTCAGTCAGCATGTGAGGAAAGTTTGAGTTAGCATCACTCCTGGCATTATCTTGACCATCCTCACTGGGCATCACAGAGGCAAGAGAGTAGTCTTTCTGAAGCAGTTGGCCAGTGGCTTGCTACTTGCAACTGGGCCTCTTAGCCTTAATCGTGTTCCTCTACGAAGAACACACCAGAAATTTATCATTTCCACCTCTACAAAAATTGATATCAGCAAAGTGAAAAATCCCCAAACACCTCACTGATGCTTACTTCAAGAAGAAGAAGCTGA